CGGAGATTCTCGGGCGCTTGCTGGCGGTCTCGGGCCCCCCCTGGTGGTGGGGGGCAAGGAACGTCAGTTCGAGTTGCCTCTCTTGGATCCCTCTTGTTTGGGCCATGTTGGGGCTCTCTTGGGCCATCTTGGGCGCCTCGTGGGCCGTCTGGGGGCCCTCTTCGGCCGTCTTGTGGCCCCCTAGGGTCTTCGTGGCTCGTCTTGGAGCGATCAGCGGGACATTTTGAGCCGTCTTGGGCGCCGTGAAAACCAGAAGCGCGAATATATTCAAACGCATGCGTTCCCCCTGAGGGCGTGCGTGACTCTTGCTTCTTGGGGCCCCCTCGGCGTTCGTCTTGGAGACCTCGGGGCCGGTTTGAGACCTCGTGGGGCAGTCGTGAGGCCAGTTTGCAATCGGTGAGGATCTCTCGGCGTATTGGAGCCCGGCATGAACGAGCGTGGATGGAATCTTGGGCGTCCTGGAGGCCGCAGGCTCTAGATTTGGAGGCTCCGGAGGCCCTGGGGTTGCGTTCGCGAGCTCGACCACTCTCCCCTCTGATCGGATCTCTGATCCCGGCTGGGGGGCCAGCTCGTCGCCTCGCCCGCCTTCGCGCCCCCAGCAAGCCAGGGTCGGCGGGCGACGACGCCGCGATTGCCGCCGTGGGGCCCAGGGGGAGGTCCTGGATCTGACGGGCCCATGATGCGCTCTGCGCGTTCCTGGGCGCGCGAGCGAACGTAGTTGGCGCCGTCGCCCCACGGTGAGCTCTGCTTGGGCTCGGAAGGCGAGCGCGGCCAGGCGCCGGCCTCCATGCCGAAGCAGAAGAGCTGCGCGATCATGTGCAAGCCCTCCAGGGGAGAGGCCTAGTGGGTAGAGCGTGGCAAACCGTTGCCCAACTCGACTCGGGCTGGCCAGAGCACGGTGCGATGTGCGATGATTGGGGCGCCCGCCTGTCTGGGCTCCAACTGCCGGCGAGATTGTTCACCCGCGAGCTCCGCGCGTTGCAGAGAAGTCCATTTTAGCAACGCAGTCATGCCGCCAGGCGCGACCTGGGCGGCGTCGCCGCTGTCGAACAGGGGCAAGACTACTTCTGCCAAGCGTGGCTTCTCAGAACGACAGGCAAGGCCACGCGCGCCGCGTGGTCATTTGGCCGCCCGCGCAACGTCTCGCGCGGGGTGATCGCGCCTGGCAGAGAAGGCAAGGCCAGCATCTGCTGATCCGCTCCCGCCGAGTAGTTGTTGCAAGCGAGACGAAGAAACCCGGGGGCGCGCCTTCTGGGAAGGCCCGTGCTGGGAATCTCATAGGCCAGCTCTGAAAGCTGTGATCGCCGTGCAACTTTTGGAGGGACCTGCCGCCGCGAGCCAGGCGCAGTGCCCCCCTTGTGGAAGTTTCCCAGCCCCGTGATCTCCAAGCAGCCCTCGCAGAAGATGAGCTCGCGTGGCCCATCCCGCGGCCGTTGCCGAATGGCCCTGGCCCCGAGAATACCTCTTAAGGAGAGTGCGCCGACGGCGCCAGGGGCCAGATGGGTGTGTGCTGCCGCAGACGTGGCCAGCTCGCGCCAGGCCTGCCCTCTCGTCGCAAGTGCTGTTCTCGGAGGTTTTACGCCCCGGAGCACGGGCTAAACCATTCAGCTCGGGCGCGCGATCTGGCGCAGTCCGCTCGGTGGGCTGGTGCTTCTTAGCCGTGCTATATCTGGTCGCCACTGCTGAACGGCCCGATTGCATTCTCGTTGACGACCATGCTGTTGTTGACGGGGTCGAGGGCCTCCCCAGCAGTGAAGCACCACCGCGCGTGGGCTACCGGGCCGGACTGTGGCGCAATGTCCATCGCGTCTGCCAGGCCAATCAGGACTTGTTCATAGCCCAGAAGATTGAAATCCACTTGGGTGATCAATGGCTCAGCAAGGGGCGCATCACTTTGATCGCGGAGGCATAGCCACGGCCGGCGCACGCGTGCGCAGCGTTCCACGAGGCCTCACCGACGCAGCTACATGGCGACGCAATGTCGCGGCTGTCATTCACAGCGCGGCTGTCGCTATCTATGACCAGCGTCACCAGGCGTTCCCCCTGCCAGACTGGAGGGCGGATTACTCAAGGGCTGAACTCATCAAGATGAAACCCAATCCTTTCGCCGCTGGCAAAGGTGGCCACGAGTCACCGGGCTCGCGGGGCGGCCCCGCTCATCCTCACGGTCCACCAGGGCCCGAGTACTTCGATTACCTCGATGATCCATGACCGGGCCTGCTCGACGAGTACGACGGCGAGGGACAAAACCCGTTCGGTTTTGGCGCTCTGAACGAAAACGAAGGAAACGACGCTTCCCTCTCCCAGAGCCACAGCAGATACGACCGCAGAGATCGCGACGATCACCGCCACGCGAGCCAGCCAGGTGTGGTGTGGGGTCATCGTTTTGGGAAAAAACCGCGTCCCGCGTCATTCACTCCTTCCCTCCTCTTTCCTTTTTGTCCTCCCGTCCCTTGCGTCTGCCTTCTGTATGTTTCTGTGTCGCCACACCCCTCGCACGTTTCGTGGCCCCATAGGGAGCTCCACCGAAGGCCCAGTATTGTGGTCGTGCCCCATTCAGGCGCACCCCTCACACGTTTCGTGGCCCCACATGGAAGTCCACCGAAGGCCCCATTGGCAAAGTTCGCATGGCGGCCCCGCTCTATGTGGGCGCACTTTTCACACGGCCCCGCCTGATTTCGGCGCCTTTCTGATACGTTTGGTGTCCTCATAGGGATCTTCACCGAAGGCCCCAGCGGCAAAGCTCGCATGGTGGCCTCGCCCGATTTCGGCGCACCCCGCACACGTTTCGTGGCCCCATAGGGAGCTGCACCGAAGGCCCCAATGGCAACATTTGCATGGCGGCCTCGCCACATGTCGGGGCATCCCCTCACATGTTTCGTGGCCCCACAAGGAGCTCCACCGAAGGCTCCCGTGGCGACGCACCCGTCGCACGTTTTCGTGGCCCCAGAGGGAGTTCCACCGAATTCTCCAGAGGCAAAGTTCGCATGGCGGCCCGCACCCCTTACACGCTTCGTGGCCCTATAAGGAGCTGCACCGAAGGCCCCACTGGCAAAGTTCGCATGGCGGCCTCGCCCCATTTCGGCGCACCCCTCACGTTTCGTGGCCTCACAGGGATCTCTGCCGAAGGCGCCAGCGGCAAAGTTCGTATGGCGGCCTCGCCCCATTTCGGCGCACCCCTCTCGTGTTTCGAGGCCCCACAGGGAGCTCCACCGAAGGCCCAAGTTGCAAAGTTCGTATGGCGCCTCCGTTCCATGTCGGCGCACCTCCAACACGTTCAGTGGCCTCACAGGGGGCTTCACCGAAGGCTCCAGGGGCAAAGCTGGCATAGTGGCCCCCCGCCCCCATGCCGGCACGTCCACCACACGTTTCGTGGCCCCACAGGAAGCAAAGTACGCATAGCGGCCCCGCCCAATTTCGGCGCACCCCTCACACGTTTCGTGGCCCCACAGGGAGCTCCACCGAAGGCCCCGGTGGCAGGGTTCGCATGGCGGCCCCGCTCCATTTCGGCGCACCCCTCACACGTGTCGTGGCCACATGGGGAACTTCACCGAAGAGGTACCCATTAATGGGGTACTCACAGCTTCACATGGTTGGGTCTTTTGCCAGGATAGTTTTTTTTGTCGAGGGGGGTTCTTTGTTTTCACAGCGTGGGCCCCCAGAGGTCCCGACCCTTTCCTCGGGAACGGCTTTTCATCTTGGGTTGCTTTGACGGTCTTTCGGCCGGGTAAGGTCTTCCAGAGGCTGAGAGCGGCCAATAATTTTCCGTCGTGTTCCCCCCCCCCCCCCCCGACGCGAGGAGGTCTGGGTCATTCTCCGTCACCTTCCTCCACCCTCCTGCCTCCCCCCCACCCCTCAAGACCTCCGACGGTTCGATCCTTCCGAGGTCGCTGGCCCTTTTGCTCCGTTCTCGACCCCTTTCCAGGGCCACTGACCTTTCTTCCATGGCCCTTGAGGTTCCCGGAATCGGTCTGTCTCCAAGACGCCGAGTGTCGGCGATGCGTACCTAAGAGTACCCTCTCCCCAGACCCCCTCGCGAGGTGAGAACGCACAATGGCGGGAACTTTTCATAGTTTTCGGCTCCTGCGGCCCTTTGCTGGGCCCCTGGGGCAGCGTGGACTGCTGCGACCTTGCTCCACCGTCGCTGTGTGGTACACCACGACGCTAATCATCAGCGCAGACTGCACTGTCCCAATGGGAATCGCAGCAGAGTTGCCGCATCCTGTGGTGCTTCAGCAACCTGTAAGCCTCAAGTGATCAAAGAAAAATTGCCAGGCCCCAGGAGAGTCAAACACTACTCGGGATGAAAAGCCCGTTCCCGGGAGGGCGCCTAGATCTCCAGGGAGCCACACTGAACAAATCACGCTCGCCGGGGTGGCCTCTGGCGTTAGGCCCAATGGGGCGCCTTGGGGGGCGCCCCCCCAAGCATTGCCGTCGGCGCCCAGGATATTGTTTTTCCCAATCATCCTGTGGTGTTGGGTCCTCGTCTTGAAGAGACCGCGCCCCGCGTTCTTCACCTCCCGCCCTTCCCTCCCGCCGCCCTCCTCCCTCCTGCTACCCCTGCCTCTGCCCTCCGCATGTCAATGACGGCACACCTCTCACAGTTTCGTGGTTCCATGGGGAGCTCCACCCAAGGCGCCAGTGGCTGCGTTCGCATGCAGTTCCGACCCCAAATCGGCACACCCCTCACACGTTTCATTGCCCCGTAGGGCGCTCCACCGAGTGCCCCAGTGGCTGCGTTCGCATGCAGTTCTGCCTCCCATGGTGGCACACCCGTCATAAGTTTCGTTGCCCCAGAGGGAGCTCCACTCAAGGCCCTTTTGGCAGCGTTCGCATGCGTTTCCACTTCCCATGTCGGCACACCCCTCACACGTTTCGTGGCCTCACAGGAAGCTCCACCGAAGGCCCGATTGGCTGCGTTTACATGCTGTTCCGCCGCGGCTTTCGGCACACCCCTCACACGTTCCGTGGCCCCATAGGGAGCTCCACCGAAGACGATATTCACAATTGCATCTGATTGGGTGCTTCGCCTAGATATTGTTTGGGGGAGGCGGCGCCCCCGCCGCCGTCGCCGCCCTCCCCCTCTCCTAGGACACAAACAGCAGCGCACAAGAGGTCATCCCCCAGCAGGGAGAACAGGGAAGGGACTCCAGCGCGAGCGAGTTTTTCGAGCCGCGAAAGGGGTGGACCCCTTTTACTATCAGTGCCCGGGCTTCCATGGCGGCCTCGGTGCCCGCGCCGCCTGCGCCTCCTCTGCCACTGGTAGAGCATGTGACGACGCGCCGGCTGAGGCGATCGCCGTCCGCCAGGCGCTGCTGTCAGGGGAGCTGCCTCAGGGCCGTGGGCACCTCGGCCGCCGAGGCCCACTCTGGACTGCCGCGGTACCATGTCTCGGTCCAGGGCGAGCAGTTCAAGTTCAGCTGCGCGCACTTTGTCGCGTACAAGGGCTTCAGGGAAAGGCTGCATGGGCACAACTACACTGTGGCAGTTGGGATTGATGGGCCCCGCCTGGACGACGGCTACACGCTTGATTTTGGAATCCTTAAACGTGCCATCAGGACCGTCTGCAAGGAGCTCAATGAGCACCTGATTGTCCCCATGCGCAGCGACGTGATCACGATAACTGTCGACGACACCCGCAACCAGCTCTCTATGGTGTGCGAGGACGGGGCGAGCTTCTCGGTGCCCGTTACCGACTGTGCCTTGCTCCCTCTTGTACATTCCACGGCAGAGGAGCTTGCTGAGTACATTCACTCCAGACTGGTACATGTGATTGGCCACGACGTATTCGTGACGAGGCGCTTGCACCTCATGCAGGTTACCATCTCGGAGCGACCGCCGCAGAGCGCCACCTACATCGCGCCGACACCAGCAGACGCTAAGCTGTGACAGGCTGGACCCGCAGTTTTCTTCGTCGTCGTCGTTCTCGTCGTTCTCGTCGTCTCTTCCTTTCAAAGTAGCTAAGATTCGGCTCTTCTGCTGTTTCCCGTCGTATGGTTTTGCACTTCTTGGCCGCTGGCGCCTTCCTTGTCCGCAAATGTTTGGCTGTGTCGTAGACTCGCCAGAGAAACCCTGACTAGAAGCATCCAGAACACCCACCCGCAACAGAGACCATGAGTAAAAAGCCGCATGCGGCCGACATCATTCTCGAGAGCGCTGTCTCGGTTTCAAAGCCGCCCGGAAATTGAGAGCCAAAGTGATGTTGCGTTTGATTCGGCCCCTTGAGCGTCTGTCCCCTGTTCGCGCTGACTTCAATCTCTTTGTCGCACTTACTTCTCCGATTCGTATTTTGTCGTGGTTCGTTCACACCGGTACTAGCTGATTCCTTCGTTTTAGCACCTTCCCACGCTTGTTTAGGTATTTGTAGATCGAGTCCTTCCACCATTTCCAGACGATTTCGGATGTGGCCTGCTGCGCTTGATGCACACCGCGTCTCGTATTTACTCGCAGTTGGTTGTGCAACTACACAAATTGGCCCTTACGACAGTCAGTGCCCCTTTTTTGATGGTGTTACTTGTTGGTAAGGGAAGCTAGCTTTCACAGTATGTCGCTCGTAGTAGCGATTTGTAGCCAATTTTGCAAGGTTTGTCCAGCCAACTGTAGCTCACATTTGTAGCTAATTGTGTACGGCTCAAGGTTTGGCTCAAGCCGTCAACAGCATCACGGAACATAGCATCCCGCGCGCCAGAGCCGCGTCCTCGCTTCCGCCGCCGATCGCGATGGCCCGCTTCGTCGCGGCGGCTGCCGCCCTGAGCGGCATCTGGGCCTTCGTCCAGGGCCCAGGAACGCCGCTGGCCGCGGCGACACCGCGCCACGCGGCCATCGAGGCGGCGCTCCGGGAGGCCTCGTCGGCCCCAGAGGCCGCGACCAGCTGGGCCTCATGGGCCGCGCCGCTGCTCGGCGCCGGCGCCGCCCTGGGCCTCGACGCCTCGCTGACGGTCGCGCTGGCCACGGCGATCACCGCGGAACAGCTCAGCTAGCTCTCCTACGTCCTACGCCCAGGTCCGCGACTCCAGCATCGCGAACCGAGACCCCACGGTCGACATGCAAGGTACGGAGATTCCCGCCGTCAAGGGCAGCTGGATGAAGACTTTCTGCTTGGAGCTCAAGTCATTCGCCGTCGAGGCCTAGACCCTCAAGGATAATGAGTTTGTCACCGTCACCACCAAGCTGACGACGAGACAGGCGTACACGATTGCGTTCATTGAGGGCTCGCTGAACCCCATTGCGCTAGCCTTCAAGGTGGAGGAGGACGACGGCATGGACATTCTGGCGACAACCATCAAGCTGCCGGACGGCGAACACGTGTCCTTCCTGTTCTATTGCAAGTCGCTGGTGGCCAAGGGCGAGGGCAGCCCCCTCAAGCCGGACTACACCTGGGGGGGCGGCACGCTCGCGGACGACGCCCACATGGACAGGGCGCTGAATGGGGTCCTTCCCGAACCCCGAGCACCCAGGTCCAGGGGGGGCCAGAAACCCGACGGGAGCAGGGAACCAGCGGCGGGGGGTGCCGCTGGGACTGCTAGAATGCCCTCATCCCCCGATGCCCCCCCCTTCCGCCGCTCCTCCAGGTTCCCTCACTCGTCCCTGCCCCCCCCCCCTCCCGGATACGTTCTCGTCCCCCTGGCTTCCGCACCACTTCAGCAGGGAGGCTCGCCAACCTGCAGGACTCGCCCAGACCACGGGGACCTCCACGGCGCTGAACGTGGACTCCTGGTCGGAGCTGGACGCGGACCCTGGGACTTCGGAAGCGGCGTCCATGACGCTGGGCATGCAGATCTTCGTCGCGACGCGGACCTGCAAGACCACCGCTTTGAGGACCACGCCAGCCGGCTTCGAGGCTGGCAGAATCAACGCCGACATCGACGCCGGCATCGACTTTCGCGTCGTCAGTAGCATCGACGCCGGTACCAACGCCAGCACCGACTACAGCATCGTCGCCAGCAGCATCGTCGCCGGCGTCAGCACTGAGTCTACGGCGACACGGAGGAGGAGTACCACGACGACGACGAGCGTGAGGAGGACCTGGCCGAGGCCCCAGTCGAGCCCCAGTATGAGAATGAGGAGCGGGGGGACCCCGACGAATACCAGGACCAGGGCCTCAAGAAGGAGAAGAAGGAGGAGGCAGCCCAGAATGAAGGTCGTGCTCAGGACAACCCCCGATCCGTTTTCGACCACCACGGCGACCACGACTTCGCCTTCGGCCACGCCCACCACCACTTCGGCCACGTCCACGACCACTTCGACTTCGGAACCAACGCCAGCAACATCGACGCCAGCACCGACGCCTGCAACACCGACGCCGGCACCTACTCCGGCTCCGACGCCAGCAGCTCCGACGCCGGCACGGACACCTGCACCGTCGCCAGCAGCATCGTCGCCAGCTTCGACCCCGTCGCCGCGGCCAGCGGCAGGGACGCGGGCACTGAGGCTGGCGCCGACTTTGGCACCGACGGCAGCGGGATCGACGCCGCTATCAGCTTCGGCACCAACGCCAGCGACATCGACGCCAGCACCGACGCCTGCAACATCGACACCGGCATCTACTCCGGCACCGACGGCAGCAGCTTCGACGCTGGCTCCGACGCCGGCGCCGTCTCCGGCTCAGGCGCGGTTCTGACGCCGGCTCCAGCACAGGCATTGGGCCGGCTGGCAACAATGCCGGCGCCTACATCTGCACAGACGCCAATACCAAAGCCCGCACCTACGCCGCCGAAGCTTACGACAGCGCCTGCACCAGCGTCGACGTCAGCGCCGCCGCCAGCACCGACGGGAACACCAACGGCCACGCCTACGCCGCTACCATCGCCAGCGCCTGCGCCAGCACCGGCGCCGGCATCAATGCCTGCTACGACGACAGCGCCAACGCCAGCACTTGCGACAGCACCTACGCTTGCACCAGCGCCGGCATCAATGCCTGCGATTACGCCAATGCCGATGACAGCACCTACACAAATGTTGACATCAACACTGACGTCATCACCGACTCAGGCACCTACGCCAGCGCCAGCACCAACACTTCTGCTATCACCGGCATCAACGATGGCGCCTACCCGAACGCCCACGCCAGCTCCGACTCCAGGCTCCACGGCTCTGCAGCCAAGCAACTCAAGCCCCTACATGGGGTCACTCCGACAGCAGAGACGCAGACGAGTGATTCATCATCACAGTGCAAACGCGGCTATCGGTTCAGCACAGTGGACGCCAGCTTGGCTTCTGAAAAAACACTTCTCCTCCGTCCACCCCTTCAAGTACGAGGAGGGGAGGAGAGACGACGACGCCGACGACATCTTACACGCCGCCTCGCCGAATGAGGCAAGGGCCTGACAAGTCTCAGGAGACGGCGGCTGACGCCCGCCAAAGGCCCGCAGGAAGCTACGGAAGGAACGTGACAACCGCTGGCGCCAATGGGCGCGCTGTCCAGCTCTCGACCCCATCTCCCATGTGTCGACAGCGACGGCAACGGCGACGACGGCGAGGAGACATCCCTCCTCCACCTCTACCTCCACCTCGCCGAGTGCCATTTACTCCGACTACCAGCGTACGGATGCAGACCACACACCAGCACTCAACGTGCTCAGACTGTGCAGAGTTACTACTCCCCTCAGTAAGGGCACCGGCATCAGCACAACACCGCAATTTAATGGCATTGCAAATCCACAGCTCCTCCACAGCACCAGCAGCTTTCCAAGATCTGACAGCACTGGTAGGACCAGCAGCGCGCACTACTACCAGCAAGCACGTGCACACCAACTGCCACCAGCCCTGGGGACAGCACCGCAAATTCATGGCACCGCAATTCTACGGATCCTCCGCAGCACTGGCGGCGCCGGCAGCACTGGCAGCACCAGCAGCACCGGTAGCACTGGCAGCGCTCACCACTACCAGGAAGCGCGTGCAGACCAATTACCACCAGCCCTATGCAGACACACCCGCCACGGCCGGATAGCCCACTCCACGGTCGGATTTTCCACGGCACCGCAATTCAACAGCATCGGCACCGGCCGGACATTGCACTTCCACGACACCATTCGGCAGACGACGGACTATCTGTACAAGGTCCTCTGCGGACCCAGTCACCTGGTTCTGATGATGTACTGGCTGGTAGTCTCCACTGACAGTAGCCTTGCAGATGTTTCCAGGCCTGGAAACCGTAAGGGATGCTGTGTCTATTGTGCTAGGTGGGTGGGGCGTTCCCGCAAGCGCTGGACGGCACGGGCCGACGACCCGTAGTCGACAGAATGGACGCCGGTACCCACCCCATCACCCACGGCAGCACGGTCACTGACGCGTGCCGCAGCACGGGCAGCACACGACGTCGCGGGGGCAAGCAGACTTCTGGGAAGACACTCGCGGGGAAGTCCACCATGCCCATCGTGGAGTCCGACTGCAAGATCTACGAAGTGAAATGAACATCCAGAAGACCGAGTACGACGACACCGTCTCCAGCACCGACTCTGGCGCCGACGCCAGCCGCATCGACATGGACACCGACTTCGGCAACGTCGGCAGCTGCATCGTTTCTGGCACCGACGCCGGCCACCCACTGGGTCTGAGCCCGGGGCCATTGCCTGGATTCCTGGCCGCGCTCCGGCCAGCGCCGGCGGAAACCGTGACAGCAGCGCCAGCGGCGCCGACTGGAAGTTTAGACATCGACAGCAGCCATCTGGAATGCGGGCACGCTCAGGAGGGAAAGGATTTGGAAATCACCCTGGAAATCACCCACAACGACGTATGGCCGAGCTGCGCGCCGGCAACACGGACTTGGACACCCACACCAACACCTGCGCCTGCTCCAAAGCCAGCGCCCGCTCCAGCACCCACGACGGCAACGTCGCCAGCATGCATATATTCGTGTAGACACTTCGGGGGACTACCGTTACCCTCGATGCGGCGTCCGACGACGGGATCGACAGCGTGAAGAGGAATATCCAGGACAAAGAGGGGATCCCCCCTGACCAACAGCGCCTGCAGTTCGTAGGACACCAGCTGGAAGACGACCGCGCGCTGACGGACTACCACATCAAAAGCGAGGCCTCTTTGCAGCTGCTGCTCTGACTGCGAGGTGGAGGGCCAGCTACGCTGCTCTCTGGGATCC